GTTCTCTACTGGTTGCTACACTGGGACTGCGTGAAAGGTGCCTGCATCTAGCAATCCATAAAACTCACGATCTACTGCATCACCCCACAACTCTGAGTGCGGGGACCGCATTGCCTCGTTGAACGTCTTCGGCTCGCGGAGGTCGCCGGCCATGCAGTGCGGAAGGTCGGGCACCTTGTCAGGTGGGCGCTCGGCGCGAAGAGCGGCGTCAACGTCCTCGCGGGTGGCGAACTTCGCCGCGAACCCATGTTGGCTTCCCCCCCCTCCGGATACCATGGGCCCCCCAGCTCCCACAGCCCCCCCGCTCCCACGGTCTCCAAAGCTCGGATCCGGCGGCGGCGGCGGCGGCATCGGTGGTTCATGGCGTCCTTGGCCGACGGCCTCCCGGGTCGCCAGTGAAGATATCAGGGCGTCCTTGTCCATCATAGCCAACAGGCCAAGACGATGCTGGGCGGCGTCACCATCGGGAGGCGCCGGCGGTCTCTGCTGCTCGTTCATGAAGCGTACGCCGTCGCCGCGTGTGCGGCCGTGAACCCTGCCAGCTGCCCCACGCCATTCTTTCGATCCTCCCAACTCCCTGAAGGCGCGCGATGTCAGCGGCGAGTGCGAAGGAGCGGGGGAGGCGGCGTCGGCGGGCTGCGGCGGCGGCGTCAGGCCTGGCGGCGAACGGGGTGGCGTGGCTGCGGTCGACGGCGGGGCTGAGGATGGTGCGACGGAGATCGGCGACGGCGCTGAAGATCCTGTGAAGATCGACGGGGAAGCGGGCGGCGCTGCTGTGGTCGCTGGGGCATGCGGAGTGTACATGTAGGTCCTCGCTGGCGGGGGCGGCGGCGGTGCGGCAGCGGCCGCAGGTACGGCGGCGGCCGGCGAGGGCGCCGCTGTGACCGAAGAACCCCCCCCGCTGCCCGGTACCGGCGCCGGCGCTGCTGCTCGGCGATTGACCCACACGAAGTTATTGGTGAGGGCGAGGCGGCCGGTGTCAGCGCGGAGAACAACGGCGGTTACCGTCGAGTGGTTGTTGGCGCCGTGCAGGTAGAAGCAACGCACGGATTGGACGTCCGCTTTGATGGCGCGCTTGACCCGCATCATCCCCTCCTGGAAAAAAGGGACGACGTTGAGCGGCGGCTTCCGGCCGAAGAAGGCCTCGAACGGCGACATCCAGCCCTGATTGGCCTTCGTCGCGGAGCGGTTGAAACAACCGGATGTCCAGAGCGCCGACGAGAGCCACAGGCGTTGTCCGTTGGCGCCGATGTTTGGGACGGAGGCGAGGTCGACGTGGGCCATGGAGAGGATGTGGCGTCGCGCGGCGTGGCCCCCCTTCATCGCACGCCAGATGGCGCTCTCGGCGACGGCGTTTTGTTTGGGGGTGTTCGGCGCGGTGTACTCGCGCCGGATGCCAGCGGCGTCGCAGAACTCGATGAAAGCGGCGCCGGTGAACTCGCCGCCGTTGTCCATGCGGAAACATCCCGGAGTGCCCATGCCGTTCATGTCGGCCAAGAAGCGCTTCACGTACTTCAGGGTGTCGCTCTTCGCCCGCATCCCATACCCCCGTTGCCACCGCGATGCGCTGTCCACGAACATGATCGGGTACCGGGAGCCGTCCATCGCCTCGGTGAACGGGCCCGTGAGATCGATGTGGACCTTGCCGAACGGCACCGCCGCGCGTGTCCCACGCCGCGGCACCAGGGCCCTCCTGCCCTTCGCCTCTACACAGCCAGCACATGGCTGCAGCTCCCCGACCAGCCGAACACCCTGCTGCTTGGCAGTCTCACGCATCAAAAATTCATTTACGTGGCCGGTGGAAGCGTGGAACAGGTTAATGTCGATGGTGGGCGTGGATTTTCCTACCGAAAAGGGGGAAGCACCGGGGGCGATAATCGCCAACGCGTGGGAAAGAGACGGAGGGGCTGCGGCCTGCTGCTCATTGCACTCGGAAAGAAAACCGCTCAACACTTCCAAATCATCATGCTGCACAGTGAATGCAAGGTGGGGTGGATCCGAAGACTCAGCTAATTCAAGCGCATCAGGAAAAAAATCACCCGGGGGGACCGTGTCTTTGCCATCCATCAACCCAACATCCAGAAACATGCTCATGTCCATGATTGGTAATGCATCCTGGGAAAAAAGGGGGTTGATCTCTATCTCGCGAAAGTCTGTCAGCTCTACGGCAGGGGGAGACACAATCGAAGACGATTCTACGGCAGCCGTAATCACAGGCTGAAAATCGGGGATCGTCGTGGGGGTTGGGTCTACGTCGACGGACGGAAAAGCACAAATCGGAAGCACTACACCGGAAGTGGTAGAGGGGACGCTCGAACTCGAAGGTACTACACCGTCGGATCCGGTGGGCTGGACGTCTGCAGTCGAAGGTACAACGCCGGCCGGTGCGACGGACTGGAAGCAAGAAGTCGCACTCGCACTCGTGCCCGTTCCTGCACTCTGGCAAAGGGAAGGGGTGGCCGCAACAAATCCTGTGCCAATGCTAGGCGGGGACGCTTGGGCAGACACACGGGGAGGGGCATCGGGGCTAGAGGTCACAGCACGACCACAGTAATCCTGGGGCAATCGCGTAGCCCAGAGCGAGCATCCTACGTCAGAGTATGCGAAGGAAAGTCTACCATCAAAGAGATGTACACCTGTCTCGTCAAGGACGATCCGTTGCTTACGCTGCGTGTGGTGCAACGAAAACAAATTGAAAGTGATTCCGGGCACAACGTACACATCCGACATCTGCACGCAAAAATCAAGCTCTCCTCCCTGGTCTTGCATGTGGAAAGCCATGTTGACCTTCCCCACACATTGTACGCGCAAATAGGCACCGTTGCCAACCTGAATGTACTCTTTGCCTGTCGGCACTGGCCTCAAGTCGAACATTTGATGACTACTGCTCACAAAAGTGTTCGTCGCACCGCTGTCGGCACAAAACTTCTCTCTACCAAAACGGGAAAGCGTGCTGCGCAGATAAAGCAAGTCCATTACCACTCTCACGCTCGGTACTCGCTACAACACCACTCGGAATGATCCCGCCTGCAGACACGAAACGTGCCATCAAGAAGTGAAGGGAGCCCGGGGCCGGTGCTGCTGCTCCGGAAGGAGATGAGTGGGGTGGGGCATGAGTCGAGTGCTGCTGCAGCTGCGGCGGCTGCTGCTGCTGGAACGTCGGCGGAGGCGGAGGCTGTGGCGGCGGCTGCTGTTGCTCGTAGTAAGGCGTCGGTGGCGGGTAGTACGGCTGCTGCTGCTGGGTGTAGTCAGGCGGGGGCTGCTGGTGCTGTGGCTGCGGCTGCTCCCAACCCCCATACTCGCTACTGTTCGCGGGCCCCCCGTAGGGCGTGGCACCGTACTCGTGGTGCATCGCGTTTGCATGCCCGTGCGGGGGTCGCCATTGCTGCTGCTGCGGGCGAGGGGGGGGAGGGTTTCCATACCTTTGCTGCGCTCCGCGTCCGCCATGAGNTGCTGCTGCTGCTGCTGTTGAGGACGAGGATGGTAGTACTGCTGTTGCTGAGGCTGCTGCGGATGCTGTTGTTGCTGCGGCGGCTGTTGCTGTTGCGATGATTGCTGCCGCCGCTGCTGGTTCCGCTGCTTTCGCTCCTTATCCCGCTGCTGTTGGTGGCACTCCGCGTTGGTGTGGTTTGACCACGGATGAGCGTGACAACGCCTGTCTCTTCTGGTCTCGTCGCTCCTGCTCCGACCGTCGCCTTTGCCGTCCTGTCCGTCGCCGTTCCCACTCGACCCATTTGGGACACGTCCGTCGCCCCGGGGCGCACCGGAAGCGACGAAGGCGTGCCCCACGCCACTCTTTT